TTACTCTTTCCACGGGGTATGAATCCGCATGCAAACTTCGCATTACGGAATTTTCAGGATGTTGGTGCAGTTGCTGATGGGTACAGTGGTGATGTCGTTTGTGACACATTCACAGGCTTTTGAGGTAAAAACTTTCTGCGCACCGAAACAGTTTATGCATATAATTTGCATACTTTATTATAACATTATACCAGGAAGGATCGGATGAGGGGAATAAGGGGACGAGAGAGCGGGGAAAAAGGAGTGGACTGTCCAACCCAGAAGTAGCCATTATAAACATTTCAGTTTCAGAACAGACGGCAACTAGCCAGCAGCAACAAGTGGCAGCAGGAGCAGCAGCCTCAGCTTCGGAAACAACAAGTTAAACGGTCAGTGGCATTTCTACTTGGTTTTTAAACATCTCTATAATGGCTGACCCTAAAACATTGAAAAAGAGGGTGCTAGTCGCAAGTATGCAGCTCAGGATCGAAGGGTATCATCGAGCGCACGAGAGCATTCAAGTTACATCACTAATATGGGATACCCACAATAACTGCTCGCGTTGTCTTGGTATTCCTGCTATTTATATAATCGGTGCCTTAAATTAAAAAAAAAATTATCAACTAGCAGCATTTTCATAAGGTAAGCCAGTTATTGCAGATCTGTTGTGTTGAGTGATAGCAAAAGAGACTACAATGTGAATGAGCAACAGGCACTTAGATTTGGTAGAAGCTACACATTTGATCCTTCTCACCTCAATCTTCGGTTCGGCAAACGTGCATACGAAAGTGATCCGATGGAATACGCAAATACAAGGTTTGTTATAGTATGTGCCTTATAAATCCAGGAGCCCCCATTACACATCGAAAACAGAATCCAGAAATCTCACAAGGGTGCAAACAACAACAAGGGCAATGTCCTGAAGTAATGATGGTGGTACTTACACCCTGAGAGCCCCTAGTAAGTGCGGAAAAGTTTCGAGTTAAAATTTAGGGCAGTTACCAAAAGATGCTTCCCGCAGAAGCTTCTGGACTTACTCTACTACGAAATTTGGCTGTGTCCTTGAAGCACTGTGGAAAGTATTTGGGAACCCGGGGGCTTTCGTTCATATACCTCACTTTCTAGATGACAAAACATGCGCAAACCGCTTCAGGGATAATAGGTAGGCGGTCTCCGTGGTTGAAGGGGGGAGGGGAGGGGAGGAAAAGGCCCCTTGCTTCCTCGACACGCCAGTGTCCGGGTGGGAGTGAAGAGCGGAGGGGAAGGAATTTGCCGTCACAAGACAAAATTCTTAGATCCTCTTTTATTGTTACTTCAGTCAACTGCATTATGAATAACATCTTCCTCTAGTTCGTCCAGTTGTTTTGATCAGTGCTGCATTAGCTGATCATCAGTCCGCTGATGATCCTAACACTCGTTTCGTCCGCTGATGGGACTATCAGCCCGATGGCTTTTCCGATAAAAGCACTCTGGCAAGACTTTAGATATACCAGAATGTTCTGGGTTTGTGCTGAACATTATAGTTCCGTCTCAAATGTTACCGCTCTTAAGCTACAGCAAGGGGCAAAACCTCATCTTCTAGGAGGGACAGTATTTTAATTTATATTCGGTTGTTTCTAAATTTTTGCAAATTTATTTATATTCTTTGCGGTGTTTTTATTTTCTGCAAAATTATATTTTATTTCTTTATTTGCGTAGTTCGTTTACATCCAACTCATTTTAATACATTTACGTTTTATTTATATTCGAAAAAATGTTTTAATTCCTAAACGAAACCTTCAGCCGATTTTGTCCTTGGGCTCATCATTACTCGCTCCATCAAATCATCCGTAGATCATTTTAGTTATATGGAAAATCAAATCAAAAAAAAAACCGAAATTGTCATATTCAGACTCTAATATTTTAATATTCACAATGGTGCGATATTCAGATTCCAAAGTCTTTTGCTGTTACT